GATGCTAAAATCGCGCTTTGCGACTGTTTTTTTAAAGAAATTATTTATCAAAAACCGAACCCGCGTCTTGGGTCACTTGACCTGACCCCAGAGGTCACCGGTTGACCTGAGACCTTAAAATCGGGTACAAGTTGCTGTGTCTCCTAACGGCACACACGCTCGTTTTTTTTTCTGCGACGCTCTAACTCTATCAGGGGCGAAAAACCACAAGGGGGTCGTACCAACCCCCCCCCCCCCCCCGGCCGGCGCGTATGTAGAAAACCAACAGGTCCGGCGGGGTTAACTCTCGCCCTTATTAGCGTTTTGCTAGCCGCAAACGCGCGGGGCGGGGCTAGGTTATTGGTTGACCTTCCAGGTCAGGTCAGTGACTCAAAAGTCGGGAAAATCGGGACCTGTTAAAACTTGGAGAGTTAGGTTGTTATGAGGTTTTCGGAGCGCTGCTCACGAATTTCATGTTAACTTTGATCACCGATGATGTCTTGATGTTTTTAGGCCAGATCGGGTCAGGTCAGGTCAGGTCAACCACTAGGCGTCTTGCTAGCTGCCCATAGCAGGTGTCAACCACCGCTGACAGCTTCGTGACATGGTACGAAGGCGCCAAAATTACTTCGTAAATGTTTAAATGGATGCTGAATTCGAAATCAGCTCCAAAAACTAGCCTAAAATATATGAACCCAGAAGAAGTGAACTAAGGTCATCAAAGGTCAATGACCTTGACCTGATCTTCACGTGACCTTAATGATACCCACCATAATGCATGGGACCATGCCATCATTTCACATGTTTGAACGTTTACAATCACAAAGACTGGAAACGAGCGGATAATAGCCGTTTTCACGAAGGGCTTCCTGGCGAATGCCCATCTAATTTGAACAAATCTGCACCAAATGTGCACCTGATCTGCACAAAATGTGTACTAGATGGCCGTCGTGAAATACTCCTGAGCTGAATGTTCAAATTTGGTTCTCCTTTCCTTGTTCTCCTTCTGAACTAGGTTGAACAAGATTTTCATTGGACAAGATTGTTGACGGCCCTCCTGTGAAACGAGACTCGATGAGTTCTTAAACTCCCTAGTTATTTTGTAACAACCCTAGGTTCGTTGCATACTGACTAGGGAGGTTGCAACGACCCTAGTTTCGTTACAACGTCCCGGAACGAGCAGTTATTTTGTAACGTCCCTAGGTTCGTTGCAAACAAGCTGATCGTTCAGGGAGGTTACAAGTTACAACCACCCTAGGGTCGTTGCAAACTAACTGAAATCGCATACTCCCTGTAACATAAATACCCATGTAACTCAAGATTCATCTTCAGTGACAAAACTCTTTTCAAATTAATACAGGACACATATTCAAACACACTTTTGATCATAAAATATATCGCACACGCACATGCAATAGTTCGAGTTCAGCTTCGAATTAGAAAACTGCCTAATGCAATTAAAAGTACAATGACGTACACAACGAAACAGCTACATAAAAGTACACAGTTAAGCAGTGATACGTAGCTCTCGTAGTGACCACTAGCTCAGCACTTAGGCAAGTCACATCGTACAGGTCAACTACTGTCATCTCCCTCAGCATCATCCATCAGAGACCATGCCTTGTCATGTCAATCATCACTAGGGATAGACGACTTTCAAATTTTGAGTAGAAGCAGTACATTCCCTGATTTAAAGGTAGTGTGCCAGCTTTCCTGGACCATATGGAGTTAATGACCCAGATAAGGAGAACCGGATTTTTAGAACTTATCCATACCTTCAAAACTTATGGAAACGTCTTAAATTCTTCAAATTTTGAGTACCCCAGTGCGAATTTCGCCCCGACGGGTTGTCGGTCGTACCCCAACCACATTTCACACCACTATGAACAATAAATGCACACACTAAAATCGCTATTACCGATAGGCTCATCCAATCAAGTTTCGATAAACCCGTTCATCATCATCTCCTGCGGTTTCGAACACGCCTGTTAGGTGGCTTCTGATGCTCGTCGAGGTCGGAATTTCCAAATACGCGTGGTGCGTCGGGCCGCGCGCTCTGACTTCGGCCAAGAAAAATGCGTCAGCTGATCATTGTCATTTCTGCCACTTGCGTGTGGTGTAATGGGGTCATAACTTAAGAGACGGCTGTTTCATATCAATTATTTTACATAAAATCATATTTCAAACCACAAATTAATGTTCGACAGCCAAATTTAAGAAACAATACCAATACAGGCTTACAGTTTAAGGCTCGACATTGTGTTGTCTACGATTAGACAGCTGATAACTCATTCCCGTACGTCGTATGGTCGTAACACTATAATGACCTTTGCGTATTGTCACAAGTGCGCCGCATTCGCGATTGTTGCCCGACGCCTGTTTGCAGGTGAGCCCACTACAGTTGTTATACATATCTAAAAACCGATAAACTTTTAGGCGAAAAAGGCACTATTCCAGGCCCATTTTTGATTTTTTTGCGATATTAGGTAAAAACAGAAGCTTCTTATCCTAGGAAAAATAAAACGGGAAATCTTTCAAAGGTGGCACACTACCTTTAAGAATTCTGGAATCGTTGTATATTCATCGTCTGAGGCCGCAAATCAACGACATGTCCTCGGCGTATCCACTACGTATCACTGCTTAACTGTGTACTCCCATGTAACTCGCCTCGTTCGCCTGTGTGCCTGAGAGAGCGTGTGACTTACCGTGAGACCGTGTCAAGCCGTGTCACTCGAGGCACAGCCGACAGACTCTTGGAGCTGCCCAGGGTCCGTACAGAGATTGCTCGTCGCTGCTTTGCATTCCGTGCTGTTTCCGCATGGAACAGCAGCAAGTCGGTATCGCGCGACTCGGCGAGCTCGCGGACTTGTACTCGGCGGGCGCAGTGATCGCACCACCAGCCAGCCGATATCTGATGTCTCTCATTTTATTTGTACCTATTTCTACTTTTTATTTTTATACCTACCTTTTATTATGAATGTGAATGTGCATGAATGTGAGTACCATTGTAAAATGTGACGCGTAACCGGAAGAGCCACCACGTGGAGTGTTATAAGAATACATGATTGATTGATTGAAATAAAATGGAAATGGAAACGAAAGGGAAATAAGACGGTCTGGGAGTGTTGATATAAGAAATGACATTATTCTTGAACTAAATAACTTTGATTGCACTGATTACTGTTTAAAGCTGGAAACCCACCACGAAACCATATGGGAACCATGTGTGTGTGTAGACCATCTTGAGCCCATGCCCATGTAAACCCACCTAATAGGTACATCTAAAAACCATATGCTAACCATATGGGTCTGTTATCTGGGCGGTTGACCTGACCTGACCCGACCTGGCCTAAATGCATGAAGACATCATCTGTGATGAAAACTTACATGATAATCGTGATCAGCACCCCGCAAGACCTTATAGTAGTCACACTTACAACGTTCTAACCGGTCCCGATTTTCCCTACTTTTGGGTCATTGACCGGACCTGGAAGGTCAACCAATGACCTAGGACCTTAAAATTGGGTATCATCAGCTTCCTCTCGTCACGGGCAACACGCTCATTTTTTTTTCTCGAAGCTCTAGCTCGATCAGGGGCAAAACGGCAAGGGGTCCCACGGACGACCCCACCCCACAGTGATGCAAATGGGGTTCACGAGTGGCCATAAATACCCAAAAGTCAAGTTTACCAAATCGAGTTGATTGCGATATGGCCGAGTAGACAAATAATTGGGGCATCTGAAATCACATGGTTTCCATGTTTTTGTCAAAACCGGCCTCGTGTATAATCGTGACATTTTCTAGGTCGTAAAATGACGGTCAGACACTCGCAAGTTCAAACGCCGCTGGTTTGCGTTCATTTCGTACAAATTGAAAAAATTGTGCGTGGGAATGATCCCCAACGCCTTCTGCTTCTAATGCCGGGTCACAAAAGCCGTATCTTATTCGCTTTGGCAGTAATCTGACTATTTATCATCATGTTGCAATCGCAGTTTTTTACTAAGAAAAAAAAATGCTTTCGTTTCACCTACAGCACTTAACACAGTGTGTGCCTGTTAGTCCACCATACCATAGCCTTCCCTTATCATTTCTGAGTCGCATCGTGAAAGAATTAAGGCGCTAGCACAGGGCTGACCGACGCTACAGAGGTTTTTGTCCGGGCGGTCGGGTGCCTCAGTGGGCGCGCAGTGGGCGGGTGGGTGCCGCCGCGCGGCGTCCGGGCGGCGCGGCGGCGCGGCCGCCCGGGCCGCCCGCTGCGCCGCGGCACCCGACCGTGCCGGACGAAAACTTCTGTAGCGCCGGTCAGCCCTGTGCTAGCGCCTTAATTCTTTCACGATGCGACTCAGAAATGATTAGGGAATGCTATGATATGGTGCACTAACGGGCACACACTGCGTGAAGTGCTGAAGGTGAATTGAAAGCAAATATTTTTGGTAAAAAACTGCAGATGCAACATGATTACAAATAGTTAGCTCACCGCCAAACCAAAATAGATACGGCTTTTTATGACGTGGCATTAGAAGCAGCAGGTTTCGGGGATCATTTTCATATATAATTTTTGCAGTTTGTATGACATGAACGCACGCTAGCGGCACTTGAATTTCAGGTACCTGACAGTCATTTTACGACATCGAAAATGTCTCGACTTCTGACAATCATACACGAGGCCGGTTTTGACAAAAACATTGAAATCATGCTTTTTCAGGCACCCCAAACAATTGCCTGACTGACAATATTACGATTTATTCGATTAAGTGAACTTCAATTTTAGGCCTCTTTCGTATTTATGGCCACTCGTGAACCCCATTTGCATCACTGTGCACCCCCCTGATACATTCGCGGCTGGCAAAACACCAATACGGGCGAGGGTTAACACACATATGACCACTCCTTACTCTCGTGTGACCGCTTTTTATTCCCGTTTGACGGCTCTTTACTCCCGGGTGAACGCTCTTCACTCCCATATCCCGCCCGTCTGCGCCTATGTCGATTTTTTTTGCAAGTCCAACCCGACAAAAGCGTCACCGGGTAACTCTTGTATTGCAAACATTACTCTAACCGGGATAACATTGACATTGACAGCAGTAGCTCTGTAGTGATTCACATCCGTTAACAAATATATGTAGCATGCTTCTAAGGCTCGGCTTCAATGTTATTTGACAGCCATTTTCAGGTTAACTCCCAGAAAACTTCCTAACCAGATTTATTCCTACAAAGCTGATATTCTTTCACGAATCACCGACGGCGAAGGTCATCCCGGGATCCTGAATTTCGTTTATTTCTAGCAAACAAAAATCTATTTTTCACAGAGGGTGTCACTGAAGTTATGAGTTGAACAAAGTAAGTGGCTGTTGTTATTGTGGTGTATTTCTCGTCCAAATCGGGTGTCCGTGTGGAGTGCGCTGTGACCATAATTTGACAAAGACTTCCGAAAAACTCGGCCTTCAAGAGTGCAGGGGTCACCGATCCGCCCGGACGGTCCGTGGCGGTCCTCCAGGGGTCACCGGACGGTCCGCGGCGACCCTCCATGGGTTGGGATCACGATTTGGTAGTCTGCGTACCGCCACCGACGTTGACAGAGCTGCCCACGTCTCCGACCTGCGGCAGAGGGCGCCGGTCAGCGGTCACTGGCGCCGGATTGTGCCAACTGTTCATTGCGATAGAGGGCGCCGGTCGGCGGTCACTGGCGCAGGATTCTGCCAACGGTTACTGGCCACCGCCGAACTGGGCGCAGGTCGGCGGTCACTGCTACGGTACGGTACTCTGCCAACTATTTTCTGGGACGACCAACTCAACGAAACAGTGGTATAACGGGAGCTGGTGAGGAATGCCGGCATTTATTAATAATGAAATTTCATATTTAACCTGGGTGGTGTTTCACTGACGCTGCCAGCGCGCTGCCGGCGCATCTCGCGAGCTGTGTGACACACGAAGCCCATTGCTCCAACACGACCACAAGTCTGACGTCGGCGCGCTGGCAGCGTCGGTGATACGCCGCCCTGGGTATGCAGCGTCACCGGATAACAGGGACAGGCTACACTACACAACATCCACGGCCACGACCGGTTCCGTTAGTCTGCGGCCGGCGGTGACGTCAGCCGGTGGCGTCACAGCCGGCCAATGGCCACTCACCCTGGAGCCGACGGTGACGTCAGCGGCAGAGGACGACTGTTGAGAGGAGCCGGTACTGGCGGCCGTGTGCTGGACGCCTGCAAAGGTCAGCGCCAGTCAGAGCAGCCCACCGAGCGCCGCTCCCCGCGCGCACCGCCACCGGCCGCCCCCAAAACGGTACCGGCGCCGGCCGGCCGGCCTCACCGCCCCCAAAACGGTACCCGTGCCGGCCGGCCTCGCCGCCCCCAAAACGGTACCCGTGCCGGCCGGCCGGCCTCACCGCCCCCAAAACGGTACCCGCGCCGGCCTCACCGCCCCCAAAACGGTACCCGTGCCGGCCGGCCTCGCCGCCACCGGCCGCCCCCAAAGGGGTACCGGCGCCGGCCGGCCGCCCCCAAAACGGTAGGGGAGAGTGGGGAAAGATGCCCAGGGTTTCGCTATGTCATATATTATTCGAAAATGACGACCGGAAAGCAAAAACTTGGAGTTTCAACGGAAGCCGACATCATTTTTCTCCAAAAATATCACACTTCCGTGAATGAAATAGGATAACTTTTTTTGCTATTAAGCATTTTCCTGAAGAAGTGAAAGGGGGCATCTTACCCCACAGGGTGGGAAAGACACCCCTGGCGTTGGGGAAGATGCCCCCTGCACTTTAAGTGACATAAATGGTCACGTGAATCGCCTGAACGAATCAGTAGTCCCTTCGAGCCTGCAGTAAACACCAAACGTCATCGTAAGGGCCCTCAAAAGTAGTCGTAAGGGGCTTCAGAGGTTATCGTTAGGGCCATCATACGAGTAGTCCAGCGCGGCCAAGCAAGCCTCCGTGGTGGCGTTCGGAGACCACTGTGGGGCCCTTATAGGTCTTCATGATGCTTGAGGGCCCTCGAGCCCATCGTGGGGACCTCAGATGCCAGCGCGGCCCGTGGAGCCAACGTGGAAGCCCTCAAAGGATGTCGTGAGGGGCCCTGGAGCCAATAATGGGGCCCGCAGAGGCCGTCGTGAGGGCTCTCAGAGTCAGATGCCGCCCAAAAAGTCGCTGTGTGGGCCGAGAGACCGGCATGGGGAGCACCCGACCGTACCGGACTCTCATTAGTCCCAGATCGGCTTTTGTCTCTCATCACAAGCATGCAATAAATGATTTGACGGGCTGCTTGAAGGACAGCCTACGGATTTAGGGGGGACGTCTTTCCCCATCAGGACAGGGGGCATCTTACCCCAAGGTACCGAAGTAACATTAAATCAGTACAATTTGTTAGCCATAAAACTACACCCTGAAACAAACTGTTTGGGACACAGTACACGCATGTAAATGTATCACGACTATAGCAAGGGACGCAAAAATTATCTACCTTCTTTGATAATTACAATGTTTTAACACCAAAACATTTTTTGAAAGCAGCAAATAAAAAACATGCAATCACCAGCCAGCCGTTACCCAACTGAGCTTCGCAAATTTTTGTGAAGTTAACGAGGCAGGCTTCCGCTTTACGCTAAGAACACTAATTTCCAAGCTCGATTCTTTGTTTCGCCGCTAGAGGGGGTGGGGCGTCTTTCCCACCCTGGGCATCTTACCCCACTCTCCCCTACCGGCGCCGGCCGGCCGGCCTCACCGCCCCCAAAACGGTACCCGCGCCGGCCTCACCGCCCCCAAAACGGTACCGGCGCCGGCCGGCCGGCCTCACCGCCCCCAAAACGGTACCCGCGCCGGCCTCACCGCCCCCAAAACGGTACCCGCGCCGGCCTCACCGCCCCCAAAACGGTACCCGCGCCGGCCTCACCGCCCCCAAAACGGTACCGGCGCCGGCCGGCCGGCCTCACCGCCCCCAAAACGGTACCCGCGCCGGCCGGCCTCGCCGCCACCGGCCGCCCCCAAAACGGTACCGGCCGGCCTCGCCGCCACCGGCGGCTGCCCGAACGGCCTCCCATTTGGCGACAGTTAATAGCAACGATGCTCTTTACTGAGGCAGATAAAAAATCAATTAAGCATCATATAATGAATGAATTGCTTGTATATCATCACCCTTTTCCGTGGATATTTATCTAATGCCTGAAGCAGACTCTTTCCGCAGTCAGGAAATCGCATGCGAGAGCCTATTCAAATACATGGAAGCACGCTCGCATCAATCGCACGCACCTCCCAGATGCGATTGATGCGGGAAGAATTATAATGTATTTGAATAGGCTCTCGCATGCGATTTCCTGAACGCCGAAAGAGTCTGTTTCAGCCTTAAATGTAACACCCATTAAAAATTTACCCGCGAGTTCCTGGGGGGACGTTAAAAGCACACAATTTTCGCCGCACTATGGCTAAAAAACGGCGCCGAAGGTGCGCCAAATTTTGGATACCAGAAGGGATTTGATTGAAGTTTGTTGTAACCAAGTTTCAAGGAAAATCTGTTGATTTTTTTTTTTTTTTGATACCATAAACGGGGTGACGTTGCCAAGCGGGATGACTTTGCTACGTGTCTCGACAATGTTTTAGGATGATCTCTAGCTAGTGATATTTTACAATGGAAATAATCATTTTTTATGCACCTATGAAAGATAATTGATGGTCCTTCCAATAGTACCAGCACTGAGACTGCCAATACAATATTAACCCTAGAACGCCTAGGGGGGGGGGTTGTATCAACCCCCCCCCCCCCTGAGGTTTTTTTCGAAGTGCACGCTAAACGGCTTGTCGTAGCGGGCTGAAATTTTCAATACCCTCTGGGGCAACCTTTGCGCATCTTTTGCCGAAAAAAATTGATCGGGTCATGTCAGGTCACGGAGTTATGACGTCATAAGAGGTACAGCCTCCGGCCGACAGTTACCAAACGTGTGCGCCGAATCCCTAGGTTTTCTGCCGGTGATACCCACATTGTTTGATGGATCATGATGAAACTTCCCATGCATGTTGGGGCAAGCATTGGCTATCGTGTGGTGCAAGAAAATTGACCGGGTCAGGTCAGGTCACGGAGCTATGACGTCACAAGAGGAACAGCGTCCGGTACTATTTTTGAAAAGCGCCCGAACCACTATTTTGCTAATTCTTGTCACCTCAATGGGAATATGCAGCAATATTAGCTTCTATAGGGAGCAAATGGACCTCCCAAATCCAAAAATACAATCAGATTTCAAAAATTTAAATTTTGATTTTTCGAATTTCTGCCGCCGACTGTGATCTTGCCGACTTCCGGCGCTCCCAACGCGCCATTTTTAGAGCTAGGGAAACGAAATACATACCAAACGATAGAGAATTGATCAAGAAACACGATAGTGAAGGTTTCAAGTCGATATCTCCCACCGTTTTGCCGCAATCGCCGCGGAAAGTTGAAAAAGTTTGATTTTTTCGGAAAATTTGACCTTTGACCGGTCATAAGTAGGTCAAATGTTGACCTAGGACCAAAAAATATACCACCAATCGCGAGATCTCGTTGAGAGCAATCCGTTGGTTTTTTCCGCTAAGCTCTACGACCTTCCGTTTCGAAACGCCAGGGGGGGTCGTAACACCCCCCCCCCCTGGTCGTTCGTGTTATGAGAAATGGCCTGGTCGTGCGAGGGTTAAGGTACAATCAAATGGCTATCTCTGCCTTTTGATTATCGTTCTATATTTCCCAAAAGCTTGAACTAAATTTTGAGAGATTCTCGTGACAACTACACAACCATGACGCACGCAATTCTTAAAGCTCCATCCTTCTCCGTCTCTCCGTCCCAGCATCCATCCCTCCGTGTCCCTCCGTCTATCCGCCCCTCGTCCCTCCATCCTTCTCCGTCTCTCCGTCCCAGCCTCCATCCCTCCGTGTCCCTCCGTCTATCCGTCCCTCGTCCCTCCATCCTTCTCCGTCTCTCCGTCCCAGCCTCCATCCCTCCGTGTCCCTCCGTCTATCCGTCCCTCGTCCCTCCATCCTTCTCCGTCTCTCCGTCCCAGCCTCCATCCCTCCGTGTCCCTCCGTCTATCCGTCCTTCGTCCCTCCATCCTTCTCCGTCTCTCCGTCCCAGCCTCCATCCCTCCGTGTCCCTCCGTCTATCCGTCCCTCGTCCCTCCATCCTTCTCCGTCTCTCCGTCCCAGCCTCCATCCCTCCGTGTCCCTCCGTCTATCCGTCCCTCGTCCCTCCGTCCTCTCCGTCTCTCCGTCCCAGCCTCCATCCCTCCGTGTCCCTCCGTCTATCCGTCCCTCGTCCCTCCATCCTTCTCCGTCTCTCCGTCCCAGCCTCCATCCCTCCGTGTCCCTCCGTCTATCCGTCCCTCGTCCCTCCATCCTTCTCCGTCTCTCCGTCCCAGCCTCCATCCCTCCGTGTCCCTCCGTCTATCCGTCCTTCGTCCCTCCATCCTTCTCCGTCTCTCCGTCCCAGCCTCCATCCCTCCGTGTCCCTCCGTCTATCCGTCCCTCGTCCCTCCATCCTTCTCCGTCTCTCCGTCCCAGCCTCCATCCCTCCGTGTCCCTCCGTCTATCCGTCCTTCGTCCCTCCATCCTTCTCCGTCTCTCCGTCCCAGCCTCCATCCCTCCGTGTCCCTCCGTCTATCCGTCCCTCGTCCCTCCATCCTTCTCCGTCTCTCCGTCCCAGCCTCCATCCCTCCGTGTCCCTCCGTCTATCCGCCCCTCGTCCCTCCATCCTTCTCCGTCTCTCCGTCCCAGCCTCCATCCCTCCGTGTCCCTCCGTCTATCCGTCCCTCGTCCCTCCATCCTTCTCCGTCTCTCCGTCCCAGCCTCCATCCCTCTGTGTCCCTCCGTCTATCCGTCCCTCGTCCCTCCATCCTCTCCGTCTCTCCGTCCCAGCCTCCATCCCTCCGTGTCCCTCCGTCTATCCGTCCCTCGTCCCTCCATCCTTCTCCGTCTCTCCGTCCCAGCCTCCATCCCTCCGTGTCCCTCCGTCTATCCGCCCCTCGTCCTCATCCCCGTCAATCCGTTCTCTCCATTCCTCCTTCCGCGTCCCTCCACGTCCCTCCATCCCCGTCCCTCCATCCCCCGTCCCTCCGCCCCCCGTCCTTCAGTCCCTTTCCGTCCCCCCGTCCCCTGCCCCTCTCCGTCCCCCTCTATCCGTCGCTCGGTGGACTGACCGTGTGCGGCGCCGTCCGGGCCGACCGAGTTGGTCAGAGCCAGGGCGTCCGTCTTGGTGCCCTTGGCCGTGTCGCCCGACGAGCGAACGATTCCCGTCGACGTGGAGAATCGGCCGTCATTGAGCGCGATGCTGCCCGTCAGAAGCACCGCTGTGGACACAGGCGATCGTCCGTCATTGAGCGCGATGCTGCCCGTCAGAAGCACCGCTGTGGACACAGGCGATCGTCCGTCATTGAGCGCGATGCTGCCCGTCAGAAGCACCGCTGTGGACACAGGTGATCGGCCGTCATTGAGCGCGATACTGCAAGTCCGGAGCCCCTTTGCTAAGAGAGTTCCCCCCTCAACGGAACGTAGGTGTTAAAGGAAATATATCAATTTAATATATCGAATTTAAATATATCGAAGGCCTGAAGCCAGATACATAACCACTTAACCTAAAAATATTTGATTTACTATTGCCTGTAATCTCTCCTAAGGCATTGCCTTCGGCACTGCACTGCTTCGCATTGAGCTGGTTCCGTGTTTTTGTTTACATAATGACGTAATTTTCAGTGACTTTGTAATTCCTGGACATTATGAACTCTGGCCCATTCAAGGCACTGGACATTTCGACACTGGGCATATCGTACCCTGGACGTTATGAACCCCGGCCAGAATGAATGCTCCTCTTTTCCATAACGCAAGTGACTTGGGGGTGGGCTCTACAGAGCCCTCCCCTCCTATCTCCGAAACTACTGGGCCGATCGTCAAAATTCAAACGGCGTCTGATAGCCCTGGAAATTGGAAAACTGTCGAGCGAAACCTAATATCATTGACCTTGATGTCAACGATGACGTCACAGGTCAGATCAAAGCAAAAATTATCAGCATTTTGGCTTGTTCACAATTTAGGTTCTTGCCACCGGCTTACAAGCCCCATGAGGCTCATTTTTGGTTTACGCACTCCTTGATATATGCCTTAGATGCGGTGAGGATACCAAACTTTTACTTTGAATTTTTCAGGTCAAGGCCAGGTCATCCTAGGTCACGAAAATTGTATATCATATATCGGTCACCTGACGCTTGTTTCATGGTCCATTTTACACGTAGATTTTGAAAATAATGTCTGTGTCATTTGAGGTCATTTTCAGCTGAATTTACCGAAGGTCAAGTCAATTTCAGGTCAGAAAAGGTCAAATTTAGAAAATGAAATTTTCCAACAAAGAAGGTGCCTATCAGATGCAGTTTGAGCTCAGGAACACGATGGTGCCATTAATATTGTTGTACGATGTCAAAAACGTACTGAAATATGGCTTTGAAAAATATACATATAATTGTAAAATTTTGACAATAATGCACATAACTTAGCTACTTTTGAATATATTGGGCTACAGCTTGCTAGGGTAATTTGTCAGTGTGTGTTCTATCACATACATTTCGGTTTTTGCGAAAAATTAAAAAAAAACTTTTTGAAAAAATATATATATTTTTGTAATTGAAAAACATATTTGTCAAAATTTTCAAAAATTTTGAAAATTTGAGATAGCCGTTCGATAGCTACGTGTATTTGTGATCCACTGATGCAAAGAAATTGTATCTAGCTTTAAAACTGAGCTTTTGAGAGCGTTTGCCGTAATTCAATATTTTGCATCAAAATCAGCCGACATGACGCCACTCTGACGTCATTTCTGGCCCAACTATGGTAGCTAGAAAGTTGACATTTTAACACAAGGTGTCAAATTTATACCGCTGAAGATACTGCAAGTTTCGTGTTGATCTGTGAAACGGTTTAAAAGATATTGCCGAAAATGGGAAAGGGCTCTGTAGAGTCCCCCCAGTCATGCGCGGTTTAAGCCGCTTCGAAACATATATTTTTTTACCTGGAAAGGTCAAGGTCAAATTTTGACCTCAGGTCAAGGTCACATGGTGACCCAAATAGGTCATGCTGCATATCATTCGATGTGTCTCGACAAGACAAGCACAATGAAGCCATCCCCAGCGTTCTATCTCTTTCCAATCGGGAGTTATTGGCAAAAATCTGTTTGTAGCCTCAAATGACCTCGGATGATCTTTCTAGAGGCTATCAGCAAAAACGACACCTTGGTCGTCACGGGTGGTCCAAATCATTGTGATTCTGAAACAGTTGTACCGTTCCTATGCGTACACACGGATCTAGAGGCATTTTCATTTTTCTCCATTGACTTATAATGGAAAGGTCACGCCACTGTCCTGACCTCAGGTCACAGATATAAAAAAATATCCGAGAAATACAAATTGTAAGTGCCCATAACATCATGCAATCCACCAAGTTTAAAACCTTTCTTACAAACACTGCAGGCTGGACATGATTGCAAACTTGTTTAGGCTTGGTCAGTTAACTTGACCTGGTGACCTGGCCTGACATGACCTGGGGTCAAAAATTTCACACATCGTCCAAAATTGATGTACAGAAAGATACTCCAAGCGGCGTGGCGCTACTCCCCGCGGTTAGTTCTTTTGGTTTGGAACGGGTGGGCTGAATCAAATGGGAGGATGATCGGAGCGGCCATGGGTTTGATGAATAGTTCTGTGGTGAGGGAGCCATCATCTTCGAAGCGGATCAAGGTGTCCAAAAATGGGATTTGACGAGTGTTTGAATGTTTCGTTTCTACTATTAAGTGCACTTATCTACCGTCCATGGTGGTTATTTACCGCCTGTTCCGGTGATCTATCGTCACTGTCGGGTATTTACTGTTGGAGCTGGTTATTGACTGCCGGTTCCCGCGGCGTCGTCGCTACTGGTTCTTTACTGTTGGTTCCGGCGCAATCGGCAGTAGCTATTCATAATCGAGTGTGGTTATTTGCCATTGGTTCTGGCGAGGTCGGTAAAGGCTATTCGACATCAACAGTGGCTATTTAGTGTTGTACCATTTATCCTCCGTCCTTTTAGGCGCAGTCCGTAATGGTTATCAATTATCATTCATGTGTATATTTTACCGAAGGTTTCGGCATGTTCTGAAGCGGTTATTTACCGTCGGTGGTGTTTACATAGTGATGGTTACTTTTCCTTGGTATGTAAGTTTTATTTTCCGGCCCGGCACGATCTAGGGTGGTTTCATCGCTTCCGGTGCGGTCAGTGCTGGTTTTTACAGTCGATGTTTTTTTTTTACCGTCGTTGCTGGCGCGATCGCCGATCGTCGCCGTTGGTGGTGGTTTTACTGACCGTCGGTGGTGGTTATTTACCGTCGGTGGTGGTTATTTACCGTCGGTTCCGGCGCGGTCGGTGGTGGTTTTTTACCGTCGGTTCCGGCGCGGTCGGTGGTGGTTATTTACCGTCGGTTCCGGCGCGGTCGGTGGCGGTTATTTACCGTCGGTTCCGGCGCGGTCGGTGGTGGTTATTTACCGTCGGTTCCGGCGCGGTCGGTGGTGGTTATTTACCGTCGGTTCCGGCGCGGTCGGTGGTGGTTTTTTACCGTCGGTTCCGGCGCGGTCGGTGGTGGTTATTTACCGTCGGTTCCGGCGCGGTCGGTGGCGGTTATTTACCGTCGGTTCCGGCGCGGTCGGTGGTGGTTTTTTACCGTCGGTTCCGGCGCGGTCGGTGGCGGCTATTTACCGTCGGTTCCGGCGCGGTCGGTGGTGGTTATTTACCGTCGGTTCCGGCGCGGTCGGTGGCGGTTATTTACCGTCGGTTCCGGCGCGGTCGGTGGTGGTTATTTACCGTCGTTTCCGGCGCGGTCGGTGGTGGTTATTTACCGTCGGTGGTGGTTATTTACCGTCGGTTCCGGCGCAATCGGTGGTGGTTATTTACCGTCGGTTCCGGCGCGGTCGGTGGTGATTATTTACCGTCGGTGCCGGCGCGGTCGGTGGTGGTTTTTTACCGTCGGTTCCGGCGCGGTCGGTGGTGGTTATTTACCGTCGGTTCCGGCGCGGTCGGTGGTGGTTATTTACCGTCGTTTCCGGCGCGGTCGATGGTGGTTATTTACCGTCGGTGGTGGTTATTTACCGTCGGTGGCGGTTATTTACCGTCGGTTCCGGCGCGGTCGGTGGTGGTTTTTTACCGTCGGTTCCGGCGCGGTCGGTGGTGGTTTTTTTCCGTCGGTTCCGGCGCGGTCGGTGTTGGTTTTTTTACCGTCGGTTCCGGCGCGGTCGGTGGCGGTTATTTACCGTCGGTTCCGGCGCGGTCGGTGGCGGTTATTTACCGTCGGTTCCGGCGCGGTCGGTGGCGGTTATTTACCGTCGGTTCCGGCGCGGTCGGTGGTGGTTATTTACCGTCGGTTCCGGCGCGGTCGGTGGTGGTTATTTACCGTCGGTGGTGGTTATTTACCGTCGGTGGTGGTTATTTACCGTCGGTGGTGGTTATTTACCGTCGGTTCCGGCGCGGTCGGTGGTGGTTATTTACCGTCAGTTCCGGCGCGGTCGGTGGCGGTTATTTACCGTCGGTTCCGGCGCGGTCGGTGGTGGTTATTTACCGTCGGTTCCGGCGCGGTCGGTGGCGGTTATTTACCGTCGGTTCCGGCGCGGTCGGTGGTGGTTATTTACCGTCGTTTCCGGCGCGGTCGGTGGTGGTTATTTACCGTCGGTGGTGGTTATTTACCGTCGGTTCCGGCGCGGTCGGTGGTGGTTATTTACCGTCGGTTCCGGCGCGGTCGGTGGTGATTATTTACCGTCGGTTCCGGCGCGGTCGGTGGTGGTTTTTTACCGTCGGTTCCGGCGCGGTCGGTGGTGGTTATTTACCGTCGGTTCCGGCGCGGTCGGTGGCGGTTATTTACCGTCGGTTCCGGCGCGGTCGGTGGTGGTTATTTACCGTCGGTTCCGGCGCGGTCGCTGGTGGTTTTTTACCGTCGGTTCCGGCGCAGTCGGTGGTGGTTTTTTACCGTCGGTTCCGGCGCGGTCGCTGGCGGTTATTTACCGTCGGTTCCGGCGCGGTCGGTGATGGTTATTTACAGTCGGTTCCGGCGCAGTCGGTGGCGGTTATTTACCGTCGGTTCCGGGGCGTTCGGTGTTGGTTTTTTTACCGTCGGTTCCGGCGCGGTCGGTGGTGGTTATTTACCGTCGGTTCCGGCGCGGTCGGTGGCGGTTATTTACCGTCGGTTCCGGCGCGGTCGGTGGTGGTTATTTACCGTCGGTTCCGGCGCGGTCGGTGGTGGTTATTTACCGTCGGTGGTGGTTATTTACCGTCGGTGGTGGTTATTTACCGTCGGTGGTGGTTATTTACCGTCGGTGGTGGTTATTTACCGTCGGTGGTGGTTATTTACCGTCGGTTCCGGCGCGGTCGGTGGTGGTTATTTACCGTCGGTTCCGGCGCGGTCGGTGGTGGTTTTTTCCGTCGGTTCCGGCGCGGTCGGTGGTGTTTTTTTACCGTCGGTTCCGGCGCGGTCGGTGGCGGTTATTTACCGTCGGTTCCGGCGCGGTCGGTGGCGGTTATTTACCGTCGGTTCCGGCGCGGTCGGTGGCGGTTATTTACCGTCGGTTCCGGCGCGGTCGGTGGTGGTTATTTACCGTCGGTTCCGGCGCGGTCGGTGGTGGTTATTTACCGTCGGTGGTGGTTATTTACCGTCGGTGGTGGTTATTTACCGTCGGTTCCGGCGCGGTCGGTGGCGGCTATTTACCGTCGGTGGTGTTTTTTTACCGTCGGTTCCGGCGCCGTCGGTGGTGATTATTTACCGTCGATTCCGGCGCGGTCGGTGGCGGTTATTTACCGTCGGTGGTGGTTATTTACCGTTGGTTCCGGCGCGGTTGGTGCCGGCGCGTCCGGCGCCGTCGGTGGTGGTAACGCTGGCCGATATACCGCCGGGGCCCGGGTCGGCCTGAGAGGCCCCGAACACAGCGCTCTGACTGGTCCGGCGGCCGTCCGCTGAGCTGCAGGAGTCGGCACAGGTCAACAGAGAGCAGCGCAGCTCACAGCGGGGCAGCTCAGGTCTGCACGCGTACAGGTACAGGTCACTGGCGCACAGGTCAACAGAGAGCAGCGCAGCTCACAACGGGGCAGCTCAGGTCTGCACGGGTACAGGTACAGGTCACTGGCGCACAGGTCAACAGAGAGCAGCGCAGCTCACAGCGGGGCAGCTCAGGTCTGCACGGGTACAGGTACAGGTCACTTGCACTGGCCATGGCCAAGGAGGTGAGCACTGAGCAATGTCAGTGGAGGTTAGGTAAAGTTAGACAGGTCTACAAAGCCAACAGAGTTACATGTCAACAAAGCTCATGGCAGGTCCACAGGAGGTCAATACAGGTCAGCACAGGTTCACAAGAGATCAGCACAGGTCAGCCGAGGTCAACAGAGGTCAGCAGAGGTCAGCGAGGTCGGCATAATTTAGAGAGGTTTTGTAGAGAGCTTTCGGTGCCGCCTCGCGGAGCTCGATGACAACCATTGGTTCTCGAGATAACAGGGAGGTCGAATCCGACCCCCCCCCCCTCCCTCCCTCCGTGATCGTGGGTACGGAAATAGCTCAGGCGGTGCCGGGTTAACTTACCTGCAATACCTGTCATATGATATTTTTTAATGTTACTTGACTCTGTCTAGTGTAGCGTCGTGAAATTAATCGGAAAACAGAAACAATCGCGGAAAATTATTTTCATTACATAAGTCAGAGCTACGCTCGAAGAAGTCGCGTTCTTACCTGCCAATGACGAAAACTGCGGAGAGAAGACCCAAGGAAAAGTGTTTCAAATCGTAGTCCAGTATAGAGTTAACCTTCGCCCGTAAACGGTGTTTTGCCACCTTCGCCCATGCAGGGGGGGGTTGGTGCGACCCCCCCCCCCTGGCGTTGGAAAACGGAGCGTCGTAGAGCTTAGCGGAAAAGACCAACGGATTGCTCTCAACGAGATCTCGCGATTGGTGGTATATTTTTTGGTCCTAGGTCAACATTTGACCTACTTATGACCGGTCAAAGGTCAAATTTTCGGAAAAATCTAACTTTTTCAGATTTCCGCGCCGATTGCGAAAAAAAAACGGTAAGAGATATCGACTTGAAACCTTCACTATCGTGATCCTTGATCAATTCTCTATCGTTTGGTGTGTATTTCGATGTCATAACTCTAAAAATGATGCGTTGGGAGCATCGAAAGTCTGCAAGGTCATTTGTGCATTGGGTCACGTCAGGCGTGTGACGTCACTAACCTGACCCTGACCCAAAATGAACTACAAGAAACAACTGACGATGCCTGAAATGGATAGCAAATTCGAATTCAGGGCATCAAAATACCCCGAAAAGGCATACAAGTGCAAGAAGTCATTACAGGTCAACCGAGGTCACTGACCTGACCTTGACCTTTAGTAACCTTGAAAAGGTCAACGGACATTGTGCCAATGTCAAATCAGCCAGTTATGATTCTAAAACAATCCATCAGTGTGTCAGGTCAGTCGGCATTTATACCATTGTGAAGCAATCTCCAATTTAGCGTAAATCTGGCCGGAGGTTGTTCCCTTTATGACGTCATAACTCCGTGACATGACATGACCTTGACAATTTTTTTTACCAAAAGTTGCGCAAAGGATGCCCCAAAGGGTACTGAAAATTTGAGCAGGCTATCTGAAACGGTTCGGCGTGTAGCTAAGAAAACCTCAGGGGGGGTTGCACCAACCCCCCCCCCCCTACATGGGCGAGGGTTAACCCGTGCCCCGCCGAGGGCGGGGGGAGGGAGCGGGGGCTAAATGCCCCCTCCTCTCTTCTTCCGTCGTTATCTTCTAAAGTAGGTATTGTACGTACAGTCGTGTACAGGTTGATGGTCCTCTACTCTTTATCCACCGGGTTCCTATGGCTCAGCATTGGCAGCAGCCGCCTGGTACGGGGACCCGCAGTTGCTACTGTACACGAACCCCAACTATAGCCGTCTGTCCTGTCCAGTAACAACCGACAACATTGCTATCGACTGCCGGTCCCTGTACAAGAGCAGCTGAGGTTTTCTGTGCGTGCCCTCTGACAGCTTATCGTTGTTCCCTGTGAGGGTGCTGGGACAATTTGCTCAGGGTCGCTGTACAGTAGCAACTGCGGGTCCCCGTACCGGTACGCTGTGCCGAATGACCCGAAAGTTATGCGGCACAGTCTACCCGCGCCGTTTGACATCGGCTCGGGTCGCCGGGTGGAGCGCTTTGTAGACCAGCTGTTGCGTCAGACCAGCGCGGGGGGGAAGGGGCTCGTCTCAGTGGTTGGCGTGGGCTGGCGAGTGGTGTGGGGCGCGTTGGTGGACCATGGGGGCTGGTCGGGTGTGTGTGGTCACTTCCTGGACCTGCATTGCACATTTTGCGTCGCTTAACAACTGCATTCCTGTTTTTGATAAGCACAATGCACGAAAGACCCAGCGAATATGATTTACTTTACTTGTGCATTGTGCAAAACGTGATTTGGCACGGTATCGAGGCAACAGTAGGTCTTGTGCCTATGCATGATATTTAGGCAATACGTTTATGAAAACGGTAGATGGATACTGGATGTCAATTCGTATGCTAAATGTCGGCACGTATTAAATGAATGAATCAATCAATCAATCAATCAAACAATCTATCGACATGTATAAAACCGTAATCACTAATAGCAATCAAAACATCCTAACTCGGAAAAGCAGCCGGAGCCCTGATGACCCAGTAAACATGCCGACGTCGGCCTGACGTCGGGCCGAGGCTCGGCCCGACGTCGGCCCAACGTCGCTTCAACCTCGGCCCGACATCGGCTGGACGTCGTATATGCCCGCATGTTCCGACGTCCAGCCGAAGTCCAGCCGACGTCGAGCCGACGTCGGGCCGATATCGTTTGCCGAGGTTGACGAGATCGTTTGTCGTTGGACCGACGGGGCCGACGTCGGCATGTATATTGGGACAACGCGCCAAAAATATCGACCGGCGGCGGGATTCGAGCCCCTCAGTCGCCGACGTCGGCATGTTTACTGGGACAATACGCCAAAAGCATCAGCCGGCGATGGGATTCGAACACTGTGTCATTCGAACGCGAGGTTAGTGCGCTAACCACAACACCACGCAGCCAGCTAACGAATTCGGTTTGTTTTGTTGGGTTATGCCCTTTCGGTCTGACAAGACCATTTCAGAGCCTGAAGGATCATAGGATGGAGACATTGGTCTTCTTGGCGAGCACCCTGGGTCCAGTTCATATAGAGTCCCTGGTCCCATTGCTGTTACGTGACACTTATTGGAAAGGGCGACCCCACCATGGATTCATATAGCCACTCTTACACACCTGCACCAACGTTTCCCAAAGTTTCCCTTTGATAAGTGGCACTTTGACAAAGTGACACTTGCCGACTGGCCTTTCTATATGAACTGGGCCCGGCCCTGGTGAGTTGCCGGGGCTGAGCCTGACCAAAGGATAGGCCGAGCAGCCCCCAAGCACTCAACGCACCCGGCTACGGGCGAGCTCGGCTTACGGGCAATCCCAAATGGGATAAAGTTTCCCGTCCAGTCCGGATCAGGGGGTTGTGGCGTGGAGGAAGCTTTGAGTTTCCTGAGGATATTTTGAATACAGAAGCTCTTTATGAAACATGAAACATGTATTTTATATTATTTTTATCGGCCCGACGTCGGCTGGACCTCAGCAATTGACCTTGGTCCGACGTCGGCCCGACGTCGGCTGGACCTCGGCTGGACGTCGGAACATGCGGGCATATCCGACATCCAGCCGACGTCGTGCCGAGGTTGGACCTGGTTGGACCGACGTCGGGCCGACGTCGGCATGCCGATGCCGAGTTGCCGACGTCACCCCGACGTCGGCCGACGTCGGGCCGACGTCGGCATGTTTACTGGGGAGGCTCGAACCGGGATTCCACGCTATAAATTTTGCCTTTGATCCATCATCATTCCACCAAGCTAGAGTGACCGGCACCCGAACCCACAAAAAAACATTAATTGACTTTGCCGCCGACCTCCCGGCCCCGCCGCCCGCCCGGCCAGACTTTGCCCCGACCATAGCCATCATCCGGTGTAGCTCAGCGTAGGAGTGCTCGGCTGTCAAACTGACCGGTAGTGAGGGGCCCGGTTCGAAACGTGTCGGATGCTGGATGTTTATTTCTCGCTGGGAGGCTTTGCGTTTAGTCCACTTTTCAGAAAGATCATTTGGTGACTGACCTGCTTTCTATCTTTGCTGCAATTCATGAGGAGACCGTATGCACCCTTACCTGTCCTTCCGCACCCCACTTGGGAGATGGGTGGTTGCCCCCCCCCCCCCATGGGTTTTGTGAATATATCTAAAACGAATTTTTGGAGGGGGGATACGATCGGTTCTATGCGACAAGTGACCACACACGCCCAGCCCCAGGTCCGCTCACTCCCTCTCCACATCACCCCCGCCCCACACCACACTCCAGCCCGCCTCATCCACCGAGCCGAGTAATGACGAGCCTCAGCGCCCCGGGGCGCGACCTGTCAGCGAACCGGCGGGGACGCGGGCCGGCGGTTGCGTGCGCCGCGGGGGCAGGGGCGCGTCCAGGCGTCGGGGACATCGAGGCGGCGCGAGCTGGCGCCGCCACGGCGACACTGGACCAGACCTAATAATTGGACACCTCAACATCCAGTCGTTGAAGCCCAAACTGCCGGATCTGCGAGACGACATTCATAGAGTTTCAAGGATTTGATATATTATCATTGTTATTATATAATAACAGTGTTCGCTGACAGGTCGCGCCCCGGGGCGCTGAGGCTCGTTATGGCTCGGCTCAGTGGATGAGGCGGGCTGGAGTGTGTTGTGGGGAGGGGGTGATATGGGTAAGGAGTGAGCGGACCTGGGGCTGGGCGTTTGTGGTCACTTGTCGCATAGAACCGATCGTATCCCCCCTCCAAAAATTCGTTTTAGATATATTCACAAAACCCAAGGGGGGCAACCACCCATCTCCCAAGTGGGGTGCGGAAGGAC